GGGATAGAGAGAGAGAGAGATGTGTGAGAGAGAGAAAGAGAGAGAGACAGACAGACAGAGACAGAGAGAGGAAGATACAGTAAATACATACACATTCCTGGCGCTCCCATCGGGACGAGTCTGTGTAAAAGATTCATTAAGCAGTGAGAGGCTGTCCTGTGTTACATCACATGTGTAAAAGACTCACAAACAACGATCACTACAACTGTGTGTGTGTGTGTGTGTGTGTGTGTGTGTGTGTGTGTGTGTGTGTGTGTGTGTGTGTGTGTGTGAGTGAGACTGGTCCATGCAGACTTGTGAAGCCCAAAGTAAATAGATTTTTCAGTTATTTTTATTTTTTATAAGTTTCCTTTATTTCAGGTGTGGCAGCATTTGTATTCCTTGTTGCAGCTTCTAAAGGTAAGTCCAATAACAAGTAGACATTCCCTCAAAGGTGACATGAGCCATGCCAATAAACGGGACAAAAAGGGACATAGAGTATAATCCTCGGAAAAATATCACACTATATGAAATATTTTAACAATCGATTAAGTATAGATAATTACAATATGAGGTGGTGACTTGAGATACAAGTTTAATTGGTTTCCAAATACTTGCAGAAATGTCGCTGGAAATTTTCGATGCAAATTCACGGACATTTATGATCATTTTTGGGGACATAAATTAAAATTGCATGATGGTTTATCACTGGGAACTTAGAGTGGGGCGGTAGAGTCGTGCTCGGGAGAGAGACACTAATTTAATGCAAATGAAGTTGAATTTCTACCCGGCATTCTGCATCACTCAATCCCAATGACATTATTCATGCAACAGTCATGCATTTGAATGAGCAATGACCTCACTTGGTTAAAGGACTAGTCGCAAATAAACCAAAGTAAATACGTGTTCTCAAATCCATTTACGTGGAAATTGTCCAACCTTGAATATTCCCCAATTTGCCCAGCACAGCAATTTTCCTCCCCTTTGCATCCCGTCTCAACATACATTAGCATGAAGTTTGAATCATTAAAACACAATCAAACTTCCAACCCAGAGGAGTTGAAAGTCAGCGTGACCGTGTGGCCTCTGGGCACGAAGATCTTCCTCGGGGAATGTGTGTTGCTGCGGTGCACGGTGGAGTCCAACTCCACTTTGACGTGGAGCTACAGCTGGTTCCGGAATGAGCCTCGTGCCACCCAGGTGGGCAAGAACCCCCGACACCTACTCTCTGGGGGCAGCTACTCAATCACTGCTGTGATGAAGGAAGATGCTGGCAGGTATTGGTGCCAGGCCGAGTGCTGTGACAGTAACACCACCGTGGCGCTGCTAAGCAAGCCAGTCACACTGAGTGTTTCAGGTCAGTAAAAGTTCCGCTTTCTGTTTTGATGACCATAAATTGCATGTGTATAATAAATTAAATGCATTTTATTTTTCCCAGTCTGGAAGAGGTCTTTTAACTAGATGCATGAATACAGCTCAAAAATCTGAGAGTCCCCTCTCCCCTCCCATACTGGCCAGCGCCTGTTCACACTCCTAACCACTTGGTGGCGCCATGCAACTACAAAATCCATTTATTTTGTCTTTGTGAGTGTGGCACTGGCATTTGAGCCAATCCTAACTGACTTTGAACAATACCCGGGACTGGTTGCCAGCCAAATACTGTACACGTAGACAAAGACACAGACATTGTCATTTGTGCAGGAAGCGCCACTTCATTGCTTGCTGATTTAGAGCCCACATCAACAACTTCATTGAGCAACAGTTGAAGTTTTTGCTTTAAGATTCTCCCATTCTCCGAAAATCTCATCGACCAACTGTTTTTTTTTTTTTTTGTGCTTAGGCCAAAGCCATATCTAGTAGAAAAACTCCATTGTTGTAATCATCGATATGCAGTTACAAAAATATTTGATTGGGAATCAATAATTCAGGGGTGATTGCGGCAGGGCTTGTGGCAGTCTGTGTGGAAAGTGATGGGGTTTTGCCAAAATCACGGGTAGAAAAACTGGGACAGTATGATGAAGTAAATAAAGTATTTTTATTGCTAAGTAAATTCCCCACGTGTGATGTCACAATCTGGAAATCTTGGTTGTGTAATTTCACACCCGATGATTGTCATTCGGGGTATTTTAAAGACCCAACTATTTGTATACCAACTTTACGATTTATTTATTTTTATTTGTGTGTGTGCGTTAGGGCTACCCCCACCCTCACTGATTCTGACCCCCAGCACCAGGCACGTGTTCGAAGGGGAGACCTTTACTTTGCAGTGCCCTGAAACTCTGACGAACTCATCTGCTTGGGTCCTGAGGCAAACTTCTGCCAGCCACTTAATAAGGACCGCGGACTCCAAGACGTGTGCATGCTCATCACCAGGCGGTGGTGTCATTCCAGGCGGTTCTAGCACCTGTGTCGTCTCTGCTACCAGAGGGGGCAGTGGGCTGTACTGGTGCGAAGGTGCTGAAGGTCGCAGCAACGCGGTCAACATCACCGTCACCTGTGAGTCTTCAGGAGGATGTAAACATGGTGTGATGTCATTTTTCTGACTTGTTTTTGTCCTACAGCTGGTCCGGTTATCATGAGGACCCCCGCCTTGTCCGTACCGCGTGGGGGGAATGTGGTCTTAGAATGTCGTTACCGGAAAGGCAACCACCTAAAGACGACCTTTTTCAGGAATGGCATCAAATTGTCCCCCGACAGTTCTCCCGGTCAAGGCACAGAAATAAAAATAACCATTGTGAACGTGAGTGAGGCGCACGAAGGCTTTTACAAGTGTGCGTCGCAGGACGGAAAGCTGGAGAGTCCACAAAGCTGGTTATCAGTAAGAAGTAAGACATCGTCAGGGTTGGATTTTCTTTCCTTCCAATTGTTCAGTGTTGACGTTTTCTCTTTGGTTTAGGCAACCTATCGTCTGCGGATGTGTCAGCTGGCTCCACTTCTGGTACTCTCATCCATACATGTCACGAATCTTGGGAATGGGATAGCTTAAAGGGGAAGTCAACACCAACATTTTCTTTACAGTAATGTGTTCTTTGCGCCACTGGGCTAAACATGGCAGTTTGATTAATATTGTGTCAAAAATTAGTTAAGCAGCAAAATACACCCAGTTTCAGGGCTCAAGGGGCGGCCATTTTGCCACTTTCTGTCAACTAAAAATTATGTCCCAGTTGCTCAGGGATCAGTTTACAGTCAATCACCGCCCACCTGTTTTCTGAAGCCGAGCCGTGATTGGCTGTTACTAAGCCACTGTGATGTCAGTTTCGAAGGACAGCAAGTGACAAAATGGCCGCCCCCTGGGATGGCTAAAACTGGGTGGATTTTGCTGCTTAACTCATATTCCAAAAACCACAATATTAATCAGACTGCCGTGTTTAGACAAGTGAAGGCGCAAAGAACACATTATCGTTCAGAGCTTTGGGGGGTTGACTTCCCCTTTAAGGCTTTGAACTACAATGTAGTACAGTATTGTGCACTACAAAGTCATTCCAGAACAATATAAAACAAATATTCTTCTGACAGGTTCCTGGATTTGGGTCGTCGTTTCGTGCATTCTTATGATCTTCATCCTGCTTGCTATCTTGCTAATTCTACATTTCAGGTTAGTGGTATCTTTAAAAATGTCATCTGAGACTTTTACATGGGTTCCTCGGTTTACGATGGAGTTCAGCGGCATATCTACACACAGTCAGTACAAACCGCGTCGCCTTGTGTGAAGTTATGTTTCATCACTAAATTAACATGCCGGTACACGCATGCTCTTAATCTCATCATCATTGTATGCCGAGACAAACAGTCAGAAACCGAAGGAATCCTGCTCTCGTATATGTCTAGAGAAAACAATCAGCTCCCGTCGAGAGTCTAGCTGAACCTTTTCATTATTTTTTGTGAAGGTACAAGATGCTTTACACGTGCAACCGTTGGAGGGTTTCTTGTGTGGAAACTCCCGCAGCTGTTCTTCCTGCCACCAAGCAAGACGTGACAGAGGTACAGTGGGATTTGTCCTGGATGGAGATGTCCAACCTGCTGTAGCCGGGCAAATGAAGGTTCCCACTCACTTCTGTCATGGGCATCCATCCATCCAGGTCATTGTTGCATAGCACAGTACAATCCAGTGTGTTATAGTATAATGAATTATACTGTGGCAACTGTCTTTGATTCCACTTCACTTTTGTTTCCACACGTAACCGCACACTGTGAACTTATTGACCTTATCCATATTTATATTTATATTGCACTTAATTGAACTGTGTTTTCTTTTCTCTTCTTTCTACCCTCAATCTTGCTGCTGAAGGCTGTAAATTTCCCCAGTGTGGGACAAATAAAGGATATCTTATCTTATCTTATACTAAATGAATTCAATTTTGCTTATTTCATGAACACATTCACACAATCATCCAAAATCATCAAATGGAATTTTTGCCTTTGTCAGATCCTCATCCCGTTGTGTAATTGGTATATTCCAATCATGCTTAGGCTTTGAGTGTTTTGTTTTTCATGAAGAATAAAATTGTTAATTTTTTTTTTTTGTTTGCAACTACAGCTGTTTAATTTCTTAATTTATTTCTATGTATTGTACAGGCGGCCCGGTGGTCTAGTGGTTAGCACGTTGACCTCACAGTGCAAAGGTTGTGGGTTCGATCCCGGCTCCGGCCTTCCTGTGTGGAGTTTGCATGTTCTCCCCGAGCCTGCGTGGGTTTACTCCGGGTACTGCGGTTTCCTCCAACATTCCAAAAACATGCACGACAGGCTGATGAACACTCAAAATTGTCCCTAGGTGTGAGTGTGAGCGCGGATGGTTGTACGTCTCTGTGTGCCCTGCGATTGGCTGGCAACCGGTTCAGGGTGTCCCCCGCCTACAGCCCAAAGACTGCTGGGATAGGCTCCAGCACCCCCCGCGACCCTTGTGAGGATAAATGCGGATCAGAAATGTATTGTACATGCAGATGCGTGACAGAAAAGGCGGTGGCAAGCTCACTCAAACACAGTTCAGTCATTTTTACCCAGTATAATGCCTGTTGTGACTAGTTGTGAATTGCTGTGTCTTTTACCATCGGCAACATAAAACTATATTCTGTACTAGGCCTGTGCATTATGGATAAAGTTTAATATCTCAATATTTTTTGCCAGATATCTCCAACGACATGATAATGATAATATTCTACTGTCACACGGTGACAGTCAAATAGCGGCAACATTCCCCCCATCAAAATCAGTCCCATTACAGGCATGCTGCAGAGAAGATGCAACCATCAAGCACATGTTCATCTCTTTTGATGAATGTCACTGCCAAAACGGTGAAAACAGCCCACAACAGGTCCACATGAAGGACATCAAACACCATATTACAAAAAAACCAAACAAAACAAAAAAAAAAAAGCAGGGCTCTTGAAAAGCTTTTGACTGCCCACTATGGCGCGATCTTGATAGTGGCACAGTGAAAACTAATGACTTTCTTTTCGAAAAAGAAAAAAAAAAAAAACATTGGTCCAAAAGGATGTGGAAAGTAATTTTTTTAGGACCTTTAGCAGCCAATGTCACTAACAAAATCAGCAACAAAAAAAATAAATAAATTGACATTGCACTGTAACTGGACTTTTGACACTTTCATGACAACTTGATAACATGATAAGCTCTCCACTGTTCCGTGTTGAGAAATGCAAAATGTCGTGGCCCCTTGTAGCACAAAAGAGCTCAAGGAGAGACAGGCCGGACACTTTTGAGCAGCCAGTCGCTATTAAATTGGAAATTTCAGAGCCACCCCATCGAGCAAGGTGTTTTAATTGTTTTGGAGTGAAATCTCTTGGCCTAAATCAGTTCGACAACATAGCCTGACTCAGCCACATATTGACACGGAACACTCCCTTATCAATCATTAAAAGCAGCGCGTGCAATAAAGACGGCAGACCGTTGCACTTGAATTCATAACTTGTACAGTACTTTGTGCTTTCAAATTATTTCCATCGAAAAAGAGAGAGATCAGGAAAATCAATCATCGACGTGGACTACAGTTGAGGGATTTGGTTCTCTTGGCTGTGATTTCATTTTTAACAGAAGACCAGGAAGAATGGCGGACCAAGATAGTGAGTTTACTCCCACACCCGTGCAATGTATATGAACTTGTCAACGAGGTGTTCATTTTTTATTGATGGTGTCGACGGTGCTGTCTGTAAATGTGCAAAAAAAAAACAAAAAAGTTGAAATCCCATATCGGTTTTGTTTTGATCTGTGGTGTTAGGTGTGACCGTTCTAGCATGCATAGTGAAAGATTTGTTGATTACACGAAACGCCAGCATTGGAAATTTTCAAGTATGCCAGACAAAGACAAACGTTTCCCTTGTGGGCAGAAAAAAGACCCAGTAAACTGAAAAAGGATGTATAAGTAACATTGTTTCAGTTTTAGATGAAACCTTTGAAGTGAGGGCAGGACTTGAAAAGAAAAAAAATTGTTTGTTGTTGTCAAGGACTTCAATTTTCTCTTACATGAAATATGAATCCAGTGATTATTTGTGTCAACATCGACATATTCAACAACAAAAGAAAACTGAACTGTTGTGATTTCTTCAACCTGATGTTGTTGAATCCCTGCAATTGTCCAGTTAATCTACATTACTTTGTTTCTCTTAATTCTTTTTAGGAAATGTAACTCATTCAAAAAAATTCAAAGTAAGCGTACATCATCGAAATTATATGTTGAAAATGAAAACTTTAACCCGGATTTCATTAGCTAGCTAGCTAGCGAGCAATATAAATAGATAGAGCCCGGCTTTCTGTTCAAACAATGCCGTCATTGTCTGAGGATCAGTTATAATATCAAGTACTTGTGCTTACAGCCAAGGAGATGCCTGAGAGAAGACTAGTACTGATTGGTGCTCGACGAGACGGTAAAAGCTCATCTGCCAACACAATATTGAGAAAGGAATGGTTCAAATCTGGGCGAATTCGAACAGCTTACTCCGAAGCCAGACATGAAATTGTCGAAAACCGGAACCTGGTGGTGGTGGTGGACACTCCGGGATGGAAGTACTCCACTTCCCTCAGTGAGATTTCAGAGAGAGACAAGCAACAATTACAGCTTGGTGCCTCCAAGTGTCCACCTGGACCGCATGCCTTCCTCCTTGTCATACCCACCGATTCCAGCTTCACTCAAAAACAGAGAAGGGCGGTGCAAGAACACATGAAGCTGCTGGAGGATCGGGCGTGGAGTTACACCATGGTGCTGTTCACCTTTGGAGACTACCTGGGCAAGAGGACCATTGAGGAGCACATTGAAAGCGAGGGTGAAGCGCTCACCTGGCTGATCGAAAAGTGTCAAAACAGGTATCACGTGTTCAACAACACGGACAAGAGCAACTCGTCCCAGGTCATCGAGCTGATGGAGAAGATTGACGACATGGTCGATGAAAATGGCAACGGCTACTACATGCTAGACAACCAGATGATCGACACCATTAGGAAGAAGCAGGAAGAAGTGGCTCAGAAGGCCGAACAGAGATTGAGACGTGTCTCAGAACAAAGACAGGAAATGAAAATGGTCCTTTCGGGTAAGCATTGCACAAGATAAACAAAAACACTCAGTTCTTTTCTTGTCGATCTCTATAAAAAGCTACCTTACACTTTTGTGACTTTTCTTGTCCCAATTAACATTGAACTCATCATAAGCATGGTCATTTGGAACCACGGATACAGACTTATTCAATCTCTTGTTTTGTTTTTCTTTTTAACCTGACATATTTTAGAAATGGAGCCCATCCAGGCACTTCGTATTATTCTCCTGGGCAGCTGCTTCTTTGGGAAAACCTTCTTAAAGAACACCATCTTTGGAATCAAAGAACAAGTAGAAGAAACAACAGTGCTTTCTCATGCCCAGAAGGCCATTGTGGGCAGTACCGAAATAACAGTTGTGGATACGCCGAGTTGGCGCAAAGGCTTCTCTGCAGGCAACACACCAGAAATCATCAAGGACGAGCTACTGCACAGCTTGTTGAAGTGCCCCCCTGGGCCTCACGTCTTCTTGCTGGTGATCGACGCAGATGCCTCGTTTAACGCCCAGCACCTGAAAGCAGCCACCACTCACGTGGAGCTGCTCGGGGAGAGTGTGTGGAACCACACAATGGTGGTGTTCACCCGAGGAGACTGGGTGGGCTCACGCAGCATTGAAGAATACATTGAGTGCGAGGGGAATGCCCTGCAGTGTCTCGTGGAGCGATGCGGGAACAGATATCACGTCCTGGACAACATGAACGAAGACGACAGCAGTCAGGTTGACGATCTACTGGAGAAAATCACCCTGACTCTGGCAGGGAATGGGTGGCAACATTTTACACCCAATCAGAAGATGCTGGACACCCTGATGAAGAAAAAAAAAAGAGTGGAAAACGCTGCTCGACTGAGAAGTCAAGTCAAGGCCACCAGAGCAGAGAAAGGTACAATATCTCATGTGTTCAAAATTTGTGTATTTGGTGCCCGCCCCTCCAAATAAATTTACAGATTCAAGTTACAAACTTAATCGGTTCTGTGGGCTCTTTTGTAACCTGAAACGTTCATGTGTTAAGATAAGGTTTCCAATTGAAATGAATGGAAACGCAATTAATCCCTTCCAGCCCCAAAACAAAGTAATACTTTGTTTTGTAACTTTAATGCAAAACAGAAATAAATTTTAAAAAATTAACAATTTCCATTTTCTCTGGAGCCATTCTGACCGTTTTAACTCGTTAAGCTCACCTTTTTTCTGGGTCTGAGCTGTGATTGATCGTTACCTGAGCTTTGAGCTCCTGTGATGTCATTTTCAGCCATTAATAAGGGCAAAATGGTCATTCCTGAGATGGATAAAAACGGGCGGAAAGACATACTATTGAATGGAAATACATTGACTTGACTTCCTCTTTAGGCGCTTGAAGCATTTTCTCATGCTATTTGGCACACACACACCAGGGTTTTGGCGTCAAATTTGTGATCAAATGCGATTTACCAGCAGGTACTGTCTGCAGCAGGTTCTGTAGTCTTCCGACCTTACAAATATTTTTTTTCACTGCACAGGTCCTGCCAAAAAGTTGAAAGAGCTGAGAATTTTGATACTTGGTGAAAAGTTGTCAGGAAAGACAACAGCAGGAAATTGCCTCCTGCGGGGCAAAGTGTTCCCCGCCCAACCGAATGACGGCTGCATGGCCTGGAAAGCACAGGTTGCTGACATGCAAGTCACAGTGGTCGATACCCCGGGCTGGTGTAGTGAGTCCGACTGCACTCGGCAACAGGACCGAGAAATCGTCCGGGGTCTGACCCTGAGCCCTCAGGGGTTCGACGCTGTTCTGATTGTGATTTCCTTGGATTTCAAATTCGACCAGGTCAGTCTGGACACCCTGCAGGATCACATCAAGCTCTTTGGCGACAGCATCTGGAACCACACAATGCTTCTGTTCACAAACCAAGACACTTTGGGAGACAGATCCCTGGAGGAGTTTATCGAGGGGGAAGACAGACCACTTCGATGGTTGGTCGACAAGTGTGGAAACACCTACCACTGTCTGCATGTCACAGATCAAACCGACATTAGTCAGCACTACGAGCTGTTTGAAAAGATAGAGGGCATGTCAGCAAAGAATCAGGGCCGCCTGTTCCGCCCCGACATGAAAGACGTCGACCTGAGGCTCCATGAAAAGTTCCAGAGGAGGATAATCAAAAAAGCTCTTCAACATAAGATAGAGCAGGCTGTCAGAAGACGAGAGCTGGAGCTGTTTCAGGACCACAAGAACAATCTTGAGAAGCTGGAACAGGACATAAAAGAGATGACTTCTTCTACATTGACACTGAGTAAGTACTATTAAGGGTGAATTCCATGATTGATCATCTGCATATTCCTTGGTTTCACGTTTGCTCTTCATAAAGCCACAGGTAGCAAGAGCAGAACCAAGAAGAAATCTGTACTGTCAGATATCGAGAACCAGATCCAAGGCCTGAATGCGAACATTATGAAGTCAATGGGTCAACTTCGGAGCAGCATGGACTTTGGAGTCCCGAGCAGTACGTATACGTGTGGCATTGTGTGGATGTTAGCATCTGGGCTATACCCTTTCAAAATAGTACGTGACCACAGGGGAAAATGTAAAATCCTTTTTGATCTGCTTTTCTGCTTTCTTTGTGAAAATTTAGCGTGTTAGCTAGTTAGTATTTGAGCTATATTTCAAGTGAAACAAAGTCTCTAAAGGATTAATTTATTCTAAAAATGTGTATCAATTTGATTCGCGATTCGCAGCTTTTTAATCAATGAATTGTTGCACCTTTGTTGTCGCTGTTATCTAATATGACAATTTAAATCGTCTTCTTTTTGTATTTATGACAAGAATAAACATGTTGTTCAATTGATATTTTTCATACAGTATCAGTTAAAACAGTGTCACCAATGTCTGTCAATTAAAATGCTCTGTCTTCATTTGCAGTGAGTGGATCCACCCAATACATGGATGAATTTCAGCAATGGCTGTCTCATCTTCACGTTCGCACAAATCAAGATTCTACCCTGACCCTCAACTATTCAGAGTCATCGGGATACGAATCGCATTTTTCGGATGACTGAGCTGCATCAATGTCATCGGTGTACCAGTTGGGGAAAAGGCAAAGTTCTGTTATGCTTTCACATTGCAAGCGCATTTGCAGGTTTGGGGGTCAGTATACCAGGGCTGCCTCCACCTGCTTATTGGCCCCAGGGATAACGATCAAATATGGAGTCCCACATTTCACACACACGATACCTTTTATTAAACAATAATCACTTCCCGCGTGAATAAAACATATTTTCATGTACTTCACTGATATAACAAGCAACTACACATTGGCAAATTAGGGACACATAGTGCACTCTTGTGCCAAAAATGCTGGCTCAAAATAGTACTTAAAAAGTAATAAAGCACAAAACCATACAAAACAACATGAACAGTGCCCTGCCGCAACTGCAAACAATGTCATTTTGGCAGCGTAGAAAACTTGCTGCCGATTTGCGAAAACGTCACACTTTTCTGAATGATAGACAGTTGTTGTGCCTCAGGCTGCCACAAAATCAATCATGTAATCTTTGTAATTACAAATTGCCATTTTTTTTTCTTTCCGTTTTGTTTGGGCGGCCTGGTGATTGACTGACTTGCACATCCCCCTCACAGTACAGAGGTTGACTTCCATAGCGCCAACTATGGGCATGGAGGACTTTGGAGCGTCCTGTGGCTGGCTTCAAAAAAGTTTGTTGCACGACATCAGCATAGCAACGCTGTCTTGTGTGGTGATCGAGGGGAGGTCAAATTCGAGACAGTGAGTGAGTGGAAAGAAAAGCCGCCAGGTCTGTTCCTAGTCTCATTTTGTAACAAATAGTCGCAATTTCGTGACTAGTCTGTATTTTGTTCATATACATGCAGCCATCTCGTTACCTCTGCGTCCCGCGTCCTAGACGCATAAATTTCCCGCCAGACGCACAGTTCCAAATAATGTGCTTTTTTGGGACGCAAGGAAATTTCTCAGTCAAAACAAACAAAAAAAACGACGGTAAATCTTTTTTCCAGCAACGATCGCAGTTTGATAATTGCCGCCATTGTTGTTTTGATCTCGCGTTTAGTAATCTCGCGTGACGAGATTGGCGAGATCGGCCTTCTCGTGGAAAGCAGACGATTGTCAAGTTGTGTAATGTTAAAACAAGTGTTGCGAACAAGTATTGCGACAGTTTATTGCGGAGACATCACAGAGGAAGCAGCTAAAGTTGGATCGTTTTTTTGCGATAATCATCTTGTATGCCTGAATCATTTAAATTTTTCCAGCATTTGTTTATAAGAAATAAACCTATTATCAATGTGTATTGTTGTTGTTTGTGTTATTATCATATGCAATTGAATAAGTAGACCGTTTCAGAATTCGAAATTTGGGACTCTCTAAACGTATAATGGGACTCATACTTTTCTGATCAGCGAGTCCCTGCAACTCGCAGGACTCAAACTGTAAAATTATCACTGTACATGTACTGTATGCTGCCGTTTTTGGAGCATATATTTTTGTATTTTATTGCTTGTGTTGTTACACATGTATTTTGTTAACATGCATGTTCATAAAGGACATGTACCATATAAGGAAATGTTGATACAAGGAAAGATTGGACAACGCAAATATGATTCCTGACTAGAGAATACTTACCTGTACTGCGAAAGGCACAATGGTGATGTAATTTTAATGAGACGGAAGTTGACTGTCATGAACCAAAATATTCCCAAGGCACCAAGAGTTAAGGTTTTTTTCCTTCATGCATGAAGGAATCATCGCTAATTCAATTCTGCTCCTTCTCGTGTGCACGCCTTAGCCACCGCCACAGTAGAATACAGACAAATGTTTTGCACAACTGCCATCTTGAGGTATTTGTCTACAGCAAATCACTCATCAATGCAGCAATTTACATTTTTTGCCCGCATTTGTTTGAAAATACATTTAATACGTTTAAACGTGTTGAATCCTTTGGGAGGTGGGCAAGAACCCCCGGCCCCTACTCTCTGGGGGCAGCTACTCAATCACTGCTGTGATGAAGGAAGATGCTGGCATGTATTGGTGCCAGGCCGAGTTCTGTGACAGTAACACCATGGTGGTACTACTAAGCAAGCCAGTGACACTGAGTGTTTCAGGTCTTTCTGTTTTGATGCCCATATATTGCATGAGTATAATAAATTCAATGCATTTTATTTTTCGCAGTCTGGAAGAGGTCTTTTAACTAAAATCTAGTCAAATGTGTATGCTATTTTCATGCATCTAGTGACTAGATGCATGAAAATAGCACAAAAATCTAAGCGTTCCCCCATTCTGGTCACTGCCTGTTCACACTCCTAAACACTTGGGGGCGCCATGCAACTATAAAATCCATGTAATGTAGTTTGTCTTTATGAGTGTGGCAGTGGGATTTGAGCCAATCCGAACTGACTTGGAATTTATACCTGGGACTGGCTGCCAGCCAAATACACGAAGAGAAACACACAGACTTTGTCATTTGTGAAGGAAGCACCACTTCATTGCTCGCTGATTTAGAGCCCACATCAACTTCACTGAGCAACCGAGCATGTCCCGTTGAAGTTTTTGCTTTGAGGTTCTCCCATTCTCTGAAAATCTCATCCACCAACTGTTTTTTTTTTGGTTTTTTTTGTATACCAATTTTTTTATTATTATTTTTTTTTTTTTTGTTAGCCAAATCCAATAGAAAAAGTCCATTGTTGTGATCTTGTTATATCGAAATGCAATTACAAAAATATAATTCAGGGATGATTGCGGCAGGGCTCGTGGCAGTCTGTGTGGAAAACGATGGGGCTTCGCCAAAATCACGGGTCGAGAAACTGGGACCAGTGATGAAGGAAATAAAGTCTTTTGTATTGCCAAGTAAATTCCCCACGTGCGATGTCACAATTTGGAAAATGGAGTCTTGGTTGTGTCATTTCACACCCGATGGGTGTCATTCGGGGTTTTTCAAATATACGATACATTTTAGAGTTCTTTTTAAGATCCTATTATTTGTTTTCAAATCTTTAAATGGCCTCGCGCCACCTTACCTCAGGTCTGCGGACCAGACATTATTCGAAGTACCAAGAACTAAGCGGAGGCTCAGAGTGGATTGAGCCTTTTCCGTTCCTGGTCCCTCTCTTTGGAATGACCTCCCACTGAACATTCGGCAAGCAGCCTCACTGACCATTTTTAAAACTCGTCCCAAAATTCATTTGTCTTCTTGGGCATTTGACACGGCATGACTCAGACTTGATCTTAGTTTTACTGTTTGGTGCTTTCTACTGCCTTTGTTATTAAGTTGTTTTATTGTTGTAGAGATGATATTTTTTCCATGTACAGCACTTTGCATGCAGTGATGGTTGTTTTAAAGTGCCCTACAAATACGGTTGAGTTGAGTTGAGAGTGGAATTGCTTTGGGCAAAGTGAAACCTCTTGGCCGAAACGAGTTTGACAACTTTACCTGACTTGCCGACAATTTGACAAGAAACACTCCCTCATCATGATTCAGTCAAAATCAGGGCGTACAATGGAGAGGGCAGACTGTTGTCGTTGAACTCAGAAATAGTACAGTACTTTTTGCTTTCAAATTGTTTCCATCAAAGAAAAGAGAGATCAGGAAAATCAATCATCGACGTGGACTACAATTGAATGACGGGAGATTTGGTTCACTTGTCTGTGATTTCATTTTCAACAGAAGACCAGGGAGAATGGCGGCCCAAGATGGTGAGCTTACTCCCATACCCGTGCAATGTACATGAACTTGTCAACAAAGTGTTCATTTTTTTTATTGATGGTGTTGACTGTGCTGTCTGTAAATGTGCAAAAAAAAAAAAA